CAAGGTACGGAATAGTTCTAGAAACGTGGCGTCACACTAGTCATGTGACTCGCTGACGCAACAATATGAATTGTAATTATATGAAATCAAGTACTTAGCTCATCTTCAGCAATTGTTTATATTAAATTTAGGTGCTAAAAATTAGATTTCAAAGATAAAACAGTGCCTAGGACTTCTTGGTCTAGAAATGAGTGATTGAACATTGAAAAGGGTTGTTTTTTTTGAAGCAGTTTCTATATTAATTTGAATAAGTGATAGTTGGTCATTGTTTCGCTGTTTTTATCTGGTGAATATATAACTGTAACTATATTTTCCAGGAAAAAAAATACGAACTTGATTTTTCAATTCCAGAATATTTACTTTTGGACATAGTTCTCTCCGTTTAATAGTGCTTTCTATAATTTGACTAATTAGATTAAAATCAAACTAATTTAATGTACATAAATTATCAGAAGTTTATTCTGAATTAACATTCTTAGTTTGTCATGCTTGAATAAAAATTTGGACTGAGTGTTTATAACGCAAAAAATTGGGTTTCGATATCTGCCGCAGGCACAGCACAGGTAGCATTGCGTAGCTTTGCGCTTAACAACAATAACAAAAAGTAAGATGAGACAACCTTTGGCGGCCGCTTTTGCTGAAGAACGTTTGTTAATTAGACAGGAATTGTTTGTTTGTTGTTTTTTAAGCAAGTGTTTAAACACTACGCTATATCACCTGGAAAGTAGCAGATATCTATTGTTACGAGTTATCTTCAAGCTTTGATTAATATTTTATTCTTCAGAATTTTTAGTGGGTACTGAAGGGGGATTTATACGTTTTGACAACAAATTTGGGAAAAAACTGCTTTTACTCTAAATAATGATGATGATAATAATAACTTTATTTGAGCTAACGTTCTTGTACTGCTTGCCCTGATGAAGCCTCAATGACGAAATGTTGAGTAAAACGTTTAATAATTAAGACAAAGACGGTGGTTAGGACGAAAAACTGTTATTTGCATGGGTCGAACGATTCGAAATATACATACTTATCATCAGCGAAACCTGAAAACCAGGTGCATCAAAATATTTTAATTTTGTATTTATGGTAAAGTTACTAAGACTATCTGCCAGCGTCCACAATTTCGAACTATTAACAAATAGGGGAGGAGGCAGCCAGTCAGCAACACCCACCATCTACTCTTAAAGGATTGGCTGTCATTCTTATATCGCACAGATGGCTGAAAGTTTGGCGAATACATTGGTGGTATCACAAGGATTCGAACCAGATCCAAAATCCAGAGCTGTATCACAGGGCTAATCCGGTCCCTAAGTGTCTTCCCAAAGTAAATTTCGGATGATATTTAAGAATGTGAAGCTCAACAAACATGAATGAGAAATGAGTAGTCTAATATCTAACCTATATAAAAGCCAGAGTGTGTCACGTCACTCGAAATAGGAGGAGTCGTAAAAGCCAAAATGTATTTATCCAAATAGAATAATTGGATTACTGTCTGCCCATTACGATTTTAGTGATGGGGTGCCTTGAAACCTTATAAGTGTAGTGAGTGTTGGTATAATAAACCTAAAGTAAAGACGTGGTGTGGGATCACCTAGTGTGCAGCCAAGTGCATACAATTTATCACGGAAGTAAAAATGTCGACTTAATTTTAAATTTAATTTTTTTCTTAATTAAGCTATTTTCTGTTATATTACCAACGTTCTAAGTAAAGACAAACTTCTTTAATCAACAGACATTAAGAAAACAACAAATATTTTTCCAGTTTTGTTGTTCATACATTTCATTTTATACTTTCAGTACATAGACTAACGACATTATTAGGTTATACTTTTGTTGCTAAGCGACATGACATAAAAACCGTTGTTAGAAGATCTTAATCTAACTGTTTTTTTTTATTATTATTTTTAACCAATATTTATTCTATGAATAGACCACGAATTCGTTTCATGAATAATCTTAATTTTGATCGCCTCACAAAGGAACTTACCGACGTTTGACTGCCTCAAATGCACTTTTCCGCCTCTTGTTGGTCAAGCTTGATTTCACAAAATTTATTTCAGTTAGCTATGAAATGTAAGGTTAGGGTATACTATGGGATGGGGATGATAGTACTTGCACCGTCATTTTTGAAGGGCTATACGCTAGTTGAATATATGAAGCATGAAGTAAGTTAGAACATACGATCAAATATTGATCTTATTATCAAATGAACAATAAGAAAAACTAGAAATCAAAATAAAATACTAATGTAATAATCTGAATTTAGGATACAAGAAATATAGGTTCATGGCTGTTTTTCAGTATGTCAATTAGAAAGTTTGAATTGAAAGGATGTTTATTTACAGCAAGATAGTATTTTGAGATTTGAGGCTGCCTGTAATGAAAAGTTCAAGGTCTGTAGACCCATTTGTGATAATGTTAGATATGTTATGACATGTAGTTTCAAGGTCTGTAGACCCAGTTGTGATAATGTCAGATATGTTATGACCTGTAGTTTCAGTTGTGATAATGTTAGATATTGTTACGACGGCGGAAGTCACGTGACGCTGGAAACATGCACATTGGAGTTTCTCGAAGGATCATGAATTATCGGGGAGGCCCGAATTTGTTCGAGGTACCCTCTTTTTTAGTATATAAGCCTGGCGAGAAAAACCAGCGCGATGGAAGATATAGATAAATTGAAGAGACAGATAATTGAGTCGAGCGAACAGTAGGCACGTTAGATATGATATGACCTGAAGTTTCAGTTGTGATAAAGTTAGATATGTTATGACCTGAAGTTTCAGTTGTGATAAAGTTAGATATGTTATGACCTGAAGTTTCAGTTGTGATAAAGTTAGATATGTTATGACCTGTAGTTTCAGTTGTAATAATGCTAGATATGTTATGACCTGTAGTTTATTCAGGCGATCGAATTACTGGCACAAAGTTTTATTAGATAAACTGTGGGCCGTTAAACGTACTCGGTTTCTACAGGTACATTAGCTTCGAGATGCAGAGTATTCTAGTGGGCTTTGTGTTGAGAATATTTGGGAACTCTACCTTAACAGCTCATCGACTGTGGTTTTCAAACGATATTTATTTTTGTCAATATATGTGACTTTACAGTCACTACGCGTATTTATATTTGTTGTCAAGACCTCCGCGTAAAAATTAACTGGCCCACCATGAAATGCAACTGGATAATGAACGTTAGAGAAGGAGAACAAAGATGATCGAAATGAGGTGAAGGAAAAGGTAAGGAAGCATATCTATAGGAAATTTGACTTGTCTATCTTCTTTTTTGTACATTGATAGAATCTGTGTGAATACTATAAATAAAGCAATTATCAGGATATATGGCGCATTCACAATGCCTCAAACAAGCACGTAAAAACCTATTTATATATCGGTTATTAGTGTCATATCAAATCGTATAGT